AAAAAAAAAAACACACCAAAAAAAGAGTTGATAAGAGCTAACATTACTTTTTACTAATATGTTAAAGTCAAGTACAATAGATAAGAAGTGGTGGTGTGAAAAGTATCTATATGGGGTCAGTTCAAAAGGAATGATAAGCACTGAAATCCTGTAGTGTAAAATTTCCAATGGACTGTAGAAAAGAGAAGACAACTGATGTAAATGGCTTACATTTTATCCTTAGAAGAAAGATTTATCCAAAGTTGCAACCCCTTTTGACTGCCTTCTCCTGCAGGCATTTCTGAGTGAATTATTCCTCTTCCTGCTGTCATCCACTGCAATACGTCCAAAAGAAACATATATAGGCCTATATTGTTCGGACTCTTTGAAAATATCGATGGGTGCATGCCGGATCCTCCAAAAGTAGTGTATTTTTGGAGGATCCGACACGGGTGTGACAGCTGTTTTAGGGAGTCCGTGCAACATAAATATCATCAACCAAAAAAATTTCTCTTTGTTCTTGTAGATAAGATTTTAAGAGCTGAATATTCTGTACCTGCACATCACCAGTATTGATTGTACCCTTGTGACCAGCAAAATCTTGATGAGTAAAAGCTCCCTAATACAGGAAAACACCACATTAGCATTTTCAATGTCTTCGACGCTCATTTTACAGTTAAAATTATGGGTTCGGGATTTAGTGTCCGTTGAAATTTTAGTGATTTTTCACACACAATATCTATGTTACGTGTCAGAAATACTAGGTTCAAGTAAACGCTACATCCGTCTCTGTACGGATTCAACAGGGGATGGTCAAGTATTATTATATTGGATTGAATTATGGAACTTAATTTTTACCTCTAGCATGTAAGTTACTGTCTCAAAACCTCTGTGTGGATGGTCAGGAAATCCAGCAGGAGCAGAAACTGAAAACAATAAAACAGTACTATTTCAACTTCATTTGACTCAACAAAACCAAGAGAATTAAATAAACAACATATTCCAGTTAGATGCACAAGAAACAGTACCTGAAAATTCATCCAACATGAGGAATGGATCAAGATTCCTCAATTCAGGCCTGCAAAATCAAATATACAAAGCAAAATTCAACATTTCATGAACATTCAGATGAAAAATCCAGTATATATATATGTGTGTGCCCTATGTTGTCCGGACTCTCCGAAAATGTCGGGGGTACGTGTCGGATTCTCCAAAAGTAATGCATTTTTGGAGAATCCGACACGGGTGCAGCAACATTTTGGAGAATCCGCGCAACATGATATGTATGTATATCATCAAGACAAAGACTTTACAAAATGAAACAAATCAAGATCCAAGTTTCAAACACATATATTCCTCACTTTTTTTAGGAGCTGAGAATTTTAGTGGCGAAGCCAGGAAAATCTCTATAACTGTTTAAGATTTAATATATATGTATATAAAAATAATATTTTTTGACGAAGGGTGTTCAACTGACCAGCTTGAGCCTATGTGCACATGCTGAGATTATTTAAGGGGATTTTTTTCTGTTTTAGAGTCCAAAATGAAGAAATTCATTTTTTTTAAACGAAAATAACCAGATGAAAAAAAGTTGTAAAATTAAGAAAAAAAGGGGACAAGTATGAAAATATCAACTTCCAGTATATACCTTCCAATGCTTCTTCTAACAACAGCTCCATTCCCTTCACTTTGAGGCTTAGCCAAAACTTTCTTAATTACCAATCTTGGTCTATCAAAACAAGAATCATATTGATTTGATTCAGACATGATATTTCTGATAAAAATTGACTTTTTTGATAGTGTTTTGGCTCTAACAAATGGGAAATAATTCAGTAAAAATTGTTTAAAAATAGCTCTCATAAATGGCCAATTCTTGGAAATTTTTTGTGTGTCTCTTGTAAACTATGTTCTCCTATTTATATGAGAGTTTTTAGAATGTGGGAAATGAGACAATGGGGTTTAGATTGAGGAAACTCTGTAAGTTGAATGTTGAAAGAGACAGCTAATTTTATTATTTTTTTAAATATCTTTTGGAGTTTAGTTTGTGGATATTCAAGTATGATGATTTCATGCTTTTGTCATCATGATGGAAGCTTTTCTCCTATGTGTGAAAAGTTCTTTTCAAAGTCAAATATATTTGGAGAAATTACTAAATGGGGAAAAACCTTTTTAAAGAAAATTTTTGAAAGAAATTTTGTTGATAAAGAAGAATATTTAGTTTTTGTTGGATTATATTGGCAATGTTGTTATTGTTGGAATGAATATTATTAATGGAGCTTCTTTCAAATTTTGAAGAAGAGTTTCTACCCCATTTTTTAATTTCTTTTTTGTAATTTTTTTTTTCAACTAAACATTTTTTCAATTAAATAACAAGAAAAGAAACGAAAAGTTTTAGCTTTTTTAAGTTTTTCAACGCAGATCAATAAGGAATGCCCAGCACTGATGGGCAGCAGGTACTTCCTGAAATTAGTCAATATGCATGCAAGTTGCCTAGTTCATCACGTATGGTTATAAATAAATACATAATAAATGTAGGAATTTCAGAATTTCCTTTGGTTATTTAACTTATTTCAAAATTTTGGTTCTCTATATAAATTATAATTTATATCCCTTAATAAGTTTATATATACATTCTTGTCATCCTTATATTCAACTTGAATTTAAAAAGATGCTCCCTTATTTGTAATTTAATATTACGTGACTCTCATTCGTGTAAGTAGGGATGGAACTAGAGTATTATTTACAAATTCCAACGAACCAAGTAGCTTTTGCGTAAATCTTATACTTGTATTATAAATAATAACTAATACTTTTTTCGTTTCAATTTAGATCACACATTTCATTTATCGAGAGTCAAACTATGTTAGTTTGACCAATATTTTAAAATATTTTATTATCATATTGATATGAGAAAAATTACAATTTATAGTACTTTTTATATAATTTTTTAATTTTTATATTTTTATTTTAAAATACTAAATTGAACAAATTCAATTTAATTTTAAATTTAGTCAAAATAACTCTCGATAAATAAAATATTTTAGCAAAACTAAAAAAAAGAGTACAAGTTATGAGTTCGATGTCAAGTCCGCATCTCGTTGTAAGTTAAAGGCAAAATACATAAGTTACCCCCGAAATATGACTCAAATCCCTGTTACACACTTTCTAGGAACGAATATTACTTTACACACCCAACCTTTCTAAAGTGTATCTAATACACAATACTTTGCCCATGTGGATAGTGTGTGTTTTTCCCAACAAATGAGTCGCGTGAACAGAAGAATTTTGTGTCAGATGTCAATTTTTTTTAGTTTTTAAAAATTTTAAATTGAGTCATCTTCTTCCTTTATTAAAATTCTGTCGTAGCTACTCCTTGAGCTCCACCACCCGATCTCCTTCTTCTCAAATAGATATATCATGATTTCTTATATCTCTTCTTGTTGTAGAGAAGCTTAACTTGAGCTTTACCCATGGCGAAGTCAAATTTTCAGGAAGCGAGAATTTTTCGAAATATTTTCCAACCATTAAAGCTTAGCTCAAGATTTTGCACATTCTTTAATTTTATTAATGGATGATTTTCTAAATAGTTGACTTGTGGCGATGACAGTTAATGGCGGTCGAACTTTTACAGAAGTGAAATGAAAAATGAGTTAGATCTGAGCTCAAAAATTTTGATTCAATTTCAGCGGAAAAGATGAAGTTTTGGGTATGTTTTTTTGGTGATTTTGGTTAGTTAATGGTGGCTTTGCTATTAAGTAAAAGGTGGAGGAAGAAGATATGATGTTTGATGGTGAGAGAGGAGGAATAGGGCCATGGTAGTTTAGATGAGGAAGATGAGGGGTTTAATTGTAATTTTAATTATTTTATTTTTTAAATGACACGTGTCAGTATTTGATTGGTGCGTGATATTGCACATATTCTGAAAAATTGGTTAAGAAAAAAATGGTATGTCTTAGATACACTTTGGAAAGGTTGAGTGTGTAAAGTAATATTCGTTCCGAGAAAGTATGTAACCGGGATTTTGGTCATAATTCGGGTGGCAACTTACGTATTTTGTCTAAGTTAAAAGTGCGCTATCCATTCATCATGCCTTTTGTGGGCAAAGTTTCTAGAAGAAATCCTTAGTTGCACTTTTCATTATAATACTGTAGTGCATATTGCATTTGGAGTTGAAAAAACTTTATGTGCATGAATGTAATACATTGTGGAATTTAAGGTAGTGCATTTTCTCCTTTCTTTCCTTTCTTTTCTTTATCGGTTGTAAGTTAATATTTTTTCCGGTCTTTAATTATTTTATATATATTAAAAAATCCATTTTTTAATATTAATTCACAATAAAATTGATCATATTAACCTTAATTTATTCATTAAAAATATAATAAGTACTCCTAATCTCTTTAATTCATTACAACTTTGGAAAAAAAAAGTTAATTCCTTTTTAATATATGAAAAATTAAATATTATAGATCATAAAAAAGCCAAAAAAATCAATTAAAGTGGACCAAATAGATTATATTATTATATCAAAAAAACTAAAGATTGCGTGGATGGATACGATATCCACTCTTAATCAATTTACTTTTGGCACGCTCATTAAAAAATACTAAATTCGATACAAAAATAACTAGTATGACTAAACTACCCTTAATTAAATATTTAATGTGAGGAATAGGAAAACTTTTTAGGAATATGTACGTAAGGGTAATTTTGTAAAAATAAATTAAATTCTTTCTTAATTATATAAATGGACACTTATTTTGGACCGGAGGGAGTAGCTTATTTAAAATTATACCAGTGCCGTTGAACTAAATTCTATTTATAGGAAAGAAAACCAACGGTACAACGTTGAAGAAGATAAGAAATCGATTGTTGGAAAATGATTTTCATACAAGACAAAATTTCATGTTTGTTTCCTTTTTTTAGGTAAATATAAATTTGGTGAAATTTTAAAGTTACGTTCACTGCAATATATATCTCATGAAACTTTTTTTTTTCCTTTCAAGATTCTCTCCTCTTTTATAAGTAATTTTAAAATTTTTATGAACCAAATAAGAATAGAATCCTTTACTCTTATTCACTTCCTTTTCATTCTTTTCTTTCCGTTCAAAAAATAACGTCTAATCTATTCTTTTATTCCATTTTTGAAGCCTAGGGGTCCTCAAAAGACAAGATTTTATAAACGACTTTTTTAAAATCTCAATTAACATAACAAATCAACACGTTTTATAGGGCAATTTTTTTTAATTAATTATATTATAATAAAAGTGATTTCTGCCTCTTGTAAGCATAACGTCATTTTGTACTGTCATTTTGTTGTCATTACATTGTCACGTCTCAATAACTGATTTCGTAGTTGCTGACTATAGCTTCTTATTTATTTATTTATTTATTTATTTATTTATATTGTCAATCTTTTCTCTTCTTAAAAATGAAGACATAAATTACAAAAAAAAGGATCGTGTCAAATTTCTCTTCTGGTTAAGGTAACTTGTATCTTTTCATTATTCAAGTTGATTTGTCATATTCTGGTGAAGATTTCTTCATTTAATTTGTAACATTTATGGCCCGTTTAGCCATAAGAAAATTTTCATTTTTCTTTTCCGTAAATTTCATGAAAATTTCAAATTTCACTTAGAAGTTGAATTTTTTCTAAAATTTATGAAAATTTGAAAAACTCGAAAAAACTATTTTTTAAAATTTGCACGTCAAATCATTCACAAAAATTCAAAAACAGCTCCAAATTATATTCATATCTATACACAACTCTAATTTTCAAATACCATTTTCACTTATTAAAATATTTTATTTTTTTCCAGAATTTTACAATTCTTATGTCCAAACGCCCACTTAGTTCTACCAAAAAATAAATTACTATATAATACCTTCCAAACAAAACATTTAACAAAAGAGTTGTTTGTCCTTTCCAAACAAGACAGGATAACGTCCAGTCAAAGGCGAGAGCAGATTAAACTAATTGCTGCCTCAATTCGTTGACCATAAAAAACGAGTTCTCTTTTTCCTTTAATTTTTTTTGTTTGTTTAAGAGGATAATTAGTACTATTCAATTAATGTACTTTGAAGATTAAATTATAGTACTAAGTTATTTGTAAGCATATAGCTCGAGCCTTAATGTGGAGTCGGTTTTTTGTAGGTAGCGCAACAACAACGACCCAGTATAATCCCACAAGTGGGGTCGGGGGAGGGTAATATGTACGCAGACCTTACCTCTACCCCGAAGGGTAGAGAGGCTGTTTCCAGGAGACCCTCGGCTCAAAAAAGCAACATGAGACGATATATTAGTACCATAAAAATGCATAATAAAATAACAGCAATAGAAGAGATATGAAATACAGAATACGAAATACGAAATACGAAATAGATGGCTGGTATAGTAAAAACTAGCAGGTAACGCAAAAACAGGGGCGGTAGCGCCTTATCCCAAAAATAGGGGCGGTCCTTTCATAAAGCAAGTAAAGCAACTGCTTTAGGTCCCATATTTGCGGGGGTCACATTTTTTGTTATATTTAATAGGCTATGTATAAGTTTTAAAAAAATTGTAATGTGAAAAAAGTTTGATTTATTTCTTTAACAAATATAGAGAAGAAGGATATGCAACTGCTATGATTTCTACCAAGGAAATTGCACTTGAAATGAATATCGAACCCGAATTTTGTAAGAAACGTGTGATATATAGGAAGTGACAATGTGATGAGAATGTTTATAACAAAATCTCAAAATCTTTCAAAGAGTCCTTTAGAGTTGATTATTGTTATACATAGTGTTAGGACCGAAAAAATCAGGTGTCATGCGGAAGCTAGTAAACCAATACTTGAACGACGATAAATCAAACAACAAAAGAGAAATATACCAAAAGAGACACAAACATATAACGTGGTTCGGTCAACTGACCTACATCCATGGGC